GCAGTCAGAGAATTAAGAAGATAATTAAATTACAAAAAGTACTTGGAAAGAAGCTATCTATCACTTTAGCCCAGTCTTTGTCTGCCTTCCTTTACGTCCCTTCTCTCTCTCTGTCGGGTTAGAGTTTAAAATGACAGCTGACATCCTTCTTTTTATCAATTTACTGTTTAATTCTGAATACTAATTTGTGTTGAAACATATGTAAAACTTAAGTGCTGTTTTGATAAAACAGCTTTTGATGATTTTGAAGTGTTTATGCAAACCTTGTGCATAATTGCTGTAAAACTGTAAAGAGTGTGTGTTCCTTAAATTAAAATGCGTATCTTCCTCATTTACTTCTGTAATGCTTTTTCTCTCAGAACGTCTTATTTTATGTTTCTTTTTTTTTAAATATAAATTTAATAATACACACACAAGGGACAGTAAGGAATATATAAATTTATAATGTATATAATTATAATAAATATAATATTATATGCATATATATTCCTCACCCTTATTGTACGCATTTTCCAGTGTTGTAGTATAGGATTGCTCTTTCTTGGACAACAGATTGAAAGGCAGCAGCATTTCATTTCACTTTGAAAAAGGTGCAGAGAGGCTGTTGTGAAGGGGACTTGGGAGATACCAGAGCAATTGAACAGGCATTATGCTTGTTCCTTTCATTTTCTGCAAAGCGGAGAGGGAAATCCAGCTAATTTAATTTAAATTATTATTTTTTTTCTCTCGTGAATATTTTCACTGTGTATCTTTCAATTTTCAGTATTTCTGTATTTTCTGGATATGTTGTTGTTGAACATACTCAGAAAGATTGCAAAAATAGCATATCTGGGTTTTTTTTAAAAAAATATTTGCATTTCTTTACACTGATTCTATGGGGGGCTTTGAAGGAGATTCTGCAGTAGAAGTCTCTTCTTAAAACATATGACGTTTGCAATGGGTTTTGATATACAAAACATTGATTGTATTATATTGGAGTTGATTTTGATCATTCATTATGAGGAAATTATTTCTGTAATTCTGAGAAGGATTTACAAATTTAGAGTAAAAAGGAATGAAGTAAAAAAGTAGGTTGTGAGAATGACAGAATCTTATTCTGATACATTAAATAGACCAAAAAGTGTCTCCAGAACAAAATGAAGCAGTCTAAGATTTTAACTCCTTTAGTATTTGAATGGCAGATATAAACTGAGGAGGAGAAAATAACTTATTGCAAGATCTAATTTCAAATATGTTATTCCTTCAAAATTGAGATTAATGTCATTGTCTGTGGTAAAAGTTTTATTCCCATGCTGAAGGATAAGAACAAAAATACTACACCTTGTCTATTGACCAAAACACTCTTGAGCATACAGTGTTTACAGACATGCTTCAATTTCTGAAGATGTGGTTTTTTACCTGGTACACAAAATATCTTGTATGAGGATCCATGTTTTCGGAAACCAAGTAATAATGTCAGATTTTTTGTATCTTGGTGTTGAATGAAGTGTTTCATAGGTAGAATTGTATCTCAGCTGCTCTCCCACTGACAACTTTGGAGCCAAGGTATTTCAGCATCTCATTTGTCAGTAAACCTTCAGCAGTGTGTGCTCTTAAAAGTGAGAAAAAATATTTTCCTGGCAAAATATCTATAATTGCATACTGTTCTTGATGCATCATCCTATGAACTGTGCTGGGATGACCATCACACTAAATGCTTTCCCTTCATCAAGTTAGTGCCTTTGGGAATATGTCTTAGTTTACTCCCTCCTGCTTTTTTTTTTTTCCTTTTTTTCTTTTTTTTTTTTTCCAATAAAAAGATGAAGAAAAGAGGCTTACAAAGCCCTCGTGCTTATCAGAGAATAATTTAGGCTGTTTTAATAGGGTTTTAGGCAAATTAACTATTTTGTATTAACTTTGGTGATGTTGCCAACAAGGCAAGCTTTTGAAGATAAGTACCTAATAAATAGTTTGCTGTTTTATGATGAAGCAATTAGATCGTGGTGTCCAATTTAATTACTTCAAAGTGTGTAAAGTGAGATTGGGCTGAGTGTGTTTTTGAACTCCATTTCACTTACAGAGATAGCATTTCAATAGTAGATGTATATTTGCTTTTTGGTGAATGTTCTTGTCTGTAAAACGCCCTTTTGGAGTATGATCATTTAGTAGGCATTGGAATGTTTTATATTTTTACTGTCTTCCTACTTTTATTAAAACAAATTGTATTTTTTAAACACTCCTGGGTTTCCCTCCCTTTGCTCTCTGAGTTGTTAACCCTAATGTGCTACTTGTGCAGCTGCTGACGGTTTGAGTGAAGACAAAACGCAGTAGCTCCAGTGTTTTAGCAGGACCTGTTTAAGGTTTAAAGTTATCTTCAGCAGGAGTGTACTGCATGTTTTTCTTTGATCAAGCTGTAAAAAAATCCCATAGAAAATTTCTGGCATGCTACCTGATTTATACTTCCAAATTAGGGCTTATAGTTTGTGTGTTAAATGTGTATGCAGTTGTCTAGGTGTTTTCTGCTCTAAGAAGTACCAGAACACCTTACTTTATAGTAGGCTTAGTAGTATTTATTCTAGTCCTTGCACTGCCTCACAAACACGCTTTCTGCACCAAAAGCAAAGGCTGAATGACCAGAAATACCTGTTTAAGCTTATGTTTAATCATAGCAGTGTTCATAACCTGTCATGTCTGGTACAAACTTGAATTTTATCTTTGAAATGGCCAAAGCCGTTAGGGTTATGTAAAAACTTTTCCACGGAATTCAGTTGGAGCAACATTTATTCCAGAGTTTTGAATTTTGAGGACAGATTTTGGAGTGGTTGATGAAGTAAAATTGCTGTCAGTCGTGGAAGTGCATAAGAGGGCTTGAGAAATCACAAGACTTGACAGATGAGCTGTCAAAGTTAGCAGTGGGCACATGAAATGTCGTTCCCCCAGCAGTGTGCCCAGCACTCTCATGGGAGGTATCACCCTATTGCTAGCCGGGATGGTAACCAGAGGTGTGCCCAGCTCCTCTGCCAACAGAGATCAGAGCATGGAGCGTGAAGTTAAAGCACTCTTGATTTCAGTTTAGTTTAACGCTTTGGGCTTTGAGCTGCAGAAATGGCATATGTTTGCTTCTGGAGAGGAAAGGGCATCCACCCCTTCATCCAACCCAGAAGAAGCTGGTAGAGGGTATTTGTCAGGCTTCTTAGTTATTCGTGAGACATGTTAAATGCATTTGGCCTAAAGGCAAATTTATCTTCTAAGCATGTGGTAAAGCTTAGAGGAGAATATTAAAGATGAACTTTTGAAGAGGGGAAATGGAGTAGAAAGGATGTATATGTGAGGATCAGTGTGAATTTTGCATGTGTGAGCTATCCACAGTCTGTCTGATCCCAACAAAAAGGCAGAGAGTATTGGGGAATGTGCTTATTTTCAAGGCTGGCTTCACTTTAGCTTAACAGTCTGCAAATGTACTTGCTTCTGATTCTTACTGCTTTGTCATTTACCCTGTACAATACTATTAAACCCTCCTCTCCTTTCTGATGTGAAAAAACAACATAAAACTGAGGTGGTGGTTTAACAGAAAGAAACAATAAATCAAATATTAAAACTTTTATATGTATCCTCTTCTGGTTTTCCTGTCTGTGCTTTCCAAACCATACTCTGGAAAACATGGTCTTGCTAACATGTTTATGGGAGCATTTTTCTAAACATTTGTGGTCACTGGAGCAACCCAAAGCATTGTTTCTAGTGATTTTTTTTTTTGTGCCTACTTATGTGTGATTGTGTAGTGCAGATGGCAAGGCAGTCTTATTATGAGAATTAGGAAAGAGAAATAGATTATAAATTATTCACATGTCAAGTTTAAAGAAAAAAAACACATATGTGAAGGAGGAATGAAAATATTGAAAGAGGTTTTTTTCTTTTTTTTATTTTCTTGTTCTGAGATTTACAAAATAAACCTTAGAAACTGAATGAGCATTTTTGTATTTTCCAGGACCATTACTGGGGATTATGTGTAAGTTTTCAATATGTACACTCCTTGATTGGTGGAAGCTTGTGTCAAGGTTGCAGTTAAGAGTGTGTATTGTTTTGTGATAAGTAATGGGATGTAATAAAATTTAATTTCTTAATCTGGTGCAGTAAAATTTACATACAAAATATTTGTTTTGCTGGAGATGTTGAGAAAAGGTTTTTAAATGTTAACTGAGATTGAAATACAAGTTTTCAAGAATGAATGTTAGAAAACAGGGTAAACTTTTTTTTAGACTTGCTTCATCTCATTGTTATGCCACCTTGAAACCATATGGAAATAGAAATAGCACTTACATCATGTGCTTTTTAAGTATGAAAAAACTACTGAATGTCTGACAAACATGACAGACAAAATCTGTCAAGTATTCATATAGCAGCAGGAACATAAAGTACAGTGATTGGTCCTACATCTCTCTTACTTTACTTAATGTATATTAGTTATGTGCAGGTAAATGTAAACAGGAGGTGGCACTCTAAAGGTAACTAGTATGCAAGAGAAAACTGTATGAAAATCCTCTCAGATATCCAGGAATTGATTTGATGAGTTATCTTCCCTTGATGGAATCACATACCTACAGACCCTCTGAAATTCTGTTAATCCTTCAACCTTTGCTGTATCAGGTTCCACAATTAAATAGTGACATAAATTGGCAAGGATATTTGGTTTTCCTATAGAGAAATGTCTAGACCTCACAAATACATATCAGGCAGAACTGCCAGGTGGTTTAAAGCTTTACCAGCTGATAAGGGTTAACCAAGTACAGACATAAAACCATAGAAAGGGATCGTTCTTTTTCACTTGATCAAAACCTTTGTTACAAGGAATTTGAGGTGCTAAAAACCCCGTGATATTTAAGGATCAGAAGTGCGTTGATTTTGAACTTGGCTAAACTTGCTGTCTTCTGTAGTTTCAGTAGCACTCTTCATAATTTTCCTGTGTTATTTAATATACAGCATTTTATGATGATAAGATGCTAAGCAACTGCAGGTTGTACAAGATGGAACATGAGAACATACTGTATGCTGATGGATCGGGTGAGTATCCTTGTCTTGTCCCAGGGAGACCCTTAGACAGGTCTTGAGTGGTTTGGTTTCAGAGCAAAGATTCCTTGTTTTAGGCAGTTTGTAGACAGAAAGAATGTAATGATTTGAGGATAATTATTTTCGTAAGTTTATCAGTGCTTCCTGTTTGAAGGTCAAAATTAGCTAAAAATATCACAACATTCCTTGAAAAGTATGGCACTTAAATTATTACCAAATGCAAAGTTTTTGGAGGTGTATCATTCAAGAACTGTTAGCATATGTCAGAGAACATGTGAATTAGTTGCCAAGAGTATTCTGGGATAATGGTGGCTGTTTTTCTCTTAACGGTTTCTTTAGAAAACAAGCGACAGTTGACACTTTTCCAAACTATGACTGAGCTGCAATTAATTACACATTAGTGTTATGTTTTATTGTACTGTGCTGCCTTGACAGGAGTACTGATTTTAAAAATGTAAAAATTAGTTATGCTTTGATTCCTTTTTTTTTTTAATATGATAGTCTGATCTAAATTGAACTTAGTACTTATTAATCATTCTGTGACTGTAACCTCCACCATCTGTCACAGAATGCTTGTTAAATGAAATAGTTGTGTTTCCAAACTAGAACCAGACACAAATTTGTGTAGGGTAGTAGTTAAAGCATTAACCAGATGCTTAGCATTCTCAATTTGATTTTTGGGGTTCTTTGTTTGTTTGAAATGCGGGTTTATTTCAGGTGAATTTAGAGTGCTTTGGATTTTATTTTTTTTTTACTAAAGGGATTGCTTTGACCAGAAAATTTCTGTGTAACTTCTACTTGAGAATTTTATGTGGTAGACTCATATTAACAATTCTAGTGGCAGTCTTGTTGCTAGTATTTTTTATTTTATAATAGTTGGAATAAAACTATGCAGTGACACTGTCTTTCATGATTGATAGCTGAAGAGCTAAACTTTGTTTTGGCATGGAAGTAACTATTGGGTTTGGGAGAGGTTTGGTTTTTTGGGTTTTTGTTTTTAGAGGGGCATTGATTGATTTTTTTTTTTTTTTTTTTTTTTTTTTTTACATGAGCATCCAAGCAGAACATTTACTAGTGGCAGCTGCTGGAGTGGCATTTTCTAATGGAAGTTTAAGATCTCTTGCCTTGAGTGGTCTGGCCAGTGGACTGGCAAAGTGCATGTGGCTTTCCTTGTTTGTGTGTTTTGTGGAAATTTTCCCTTTGATGCTCTGTGAGCCTTAGCTACAATGATAGAATGAGGAACGTTTTTATTGAGCTTTTTGCCATTTTACAGGTTAATTTGTGAACCACTGACTGAACAGAACAACTTTTACAGACTATAAAGTGCAGCTCTGTAACATGGAGTAACAATCAAATAAAAAAAAGTCTGTTGGGGAAAGTAATTTTCCCACATCTTTTAAAGAGTCCGCACTTGAAGCAGGGGGAGGGTTGGGGTGTAGGGTCTTGTGATGATTTGTGGCAAAACAGGAGATGACAGGATGGGGGGAGGTTAGTACTGATGGTGTGGGCCACTAATGGCCATCAAGCACGGAAAAACTTAGTAACACTTCTGCCTCTGCTCCCTCTGTCTGTGGAGTCCCAAGGATATAGCTGAGCGGTCTAGGTGAGGTGGGGGAAATAAATGAAAAAATCTTTGTATTTCAGATGGAAAGTAATTTTAAAAATATCCATGGGGACCACCCTAATACAGAAATGATACAGTCTATTGGTTTGATCCATGCCCTTCACAGGTATATTGCTGGCATGTGACATTATAAACTTGTATATGTACAAAAAGCCACTGTTTGTATTTATACTAGAGTTTAAACTTGGCATTTCTTCATACAAATTTGAGAAATACTGCTATAGATAGAGAACCATATTGATATCCTTGTGTTGCCTGACAGAGAACTGCTTAGTCTCCCTTACCCTATTTAGAGCCAAAACCTAGTTAGATTTGAATGAGCCAGCATGTTCACTCAGGCTCCTGCAGCCCCTCTTGAAGGTACGAACTTGTCTTCTCTACACATGTTTCTGCCCAGGTGTTTGTTCCACAGCTCACACATGTTTCTGAAGTGCTGCATTTATGATGTAGGTTTAAGCATCAGTCTGTTCATGATGTGTGTTACTCTGAAGTTACTACACAACAGAGGTTTATGGGTCTTCTCTTCTTTCTGTGTTATTTGTTCCATTATACATCACACAGAATATAGAGCAATTTCTTCCCTCGGAGGCTGGTACCCATCTCAGTGCTGAGAGAATCTTTATAGTTGGGGTTAAAGGATTTCCTGAAGTATTTTTAGTTATTAGTCCATGTGGATTGTTCATTATTTAAATAACTATGTTCAGTAGGGATTGAAATAAGACCTTTATGGAGTTAGTTACTTTTTAGATTACTTTGAATTAAACTAACGTTTCAGAGGAGAGAGTGTATGTTTAGAAGACTGATGACTGTTTCAGGGACAGTATGTAATTTCTGCACAGTACCTCGTAATAAAATCATGCTATTAAAGACTTTCCTATGTTTAATGTGTATATGGACAAATGTGTTATGTTTACTATTCTATTCCTTAAATAAAGAGTAGTCTGTTGGCCTCAGGAGCTTACTGGCTGCTTCAAGAATTTAACCTGCTTTGACACTTCCGTGGTTTCTTCTGTGAGCAGCTTGAATACCACTTACTCAGCAGTAAGTTAAATAAAATCAGCTAAGGAGAACAGCATACTGTAAATGATGCTGGTAACAGAAAAAACATGTAAAACTGCTTGTAAGATGATAACATTTCATAACATTCTGGAGAACAACCTCTCATTTATTGTTTGGGGATTTTTTTTTTCTTATTTTTTTATCCTCTCCTCCACCCCCATCTGCAAAGTTGAAATGTAGCTTTCAAGGAGTTTTATTCCTTCCTTGAAGACTTGCTATATTGATCTGAACCACAGAGCTGAAATTGCTCATATTTTAGGTGTTCCTTCTCTAATGACAATATATGTCCCTGCTGTGGAAAACTTGCTGTAGTATTTCTGTTACTGGAATTTGTGCAACAGTCAGTGAGGGACGTCTTTAAAAATCCTTATGAGATACTGCAGATGGAATACTTCACTGATGTCCCTGTGAATGGATACCAGACCTCTGCAGACGTGATTCCTTAGTTGTGCTTCATGGAAGCATGCCACCAGCTTGCTCCAGACTAAAGTAATGAGAGACAAGAGATGTTGAGTAACCTCTGTATGCATACAGATTTTTGTGTTTCCTTTTTGGCCTGGTGTTCCACTTATCACAGGCCAACTAATCAACACACTTCTTGTTGCACTTCTTGCAACTTTAAGTTTCTCAATTAGTGATAAATACAAGAAAACTTGTAATCTCCCTCATTACAAGGGACAAGATAGTTTCTCCTTCTGTCCCCTTTGCCAGATGATTAATTTAAAAGCTACTGCATATTAATTATTCTCCATGGTAACTATATTAGCTGTTGTTGCAAGGCAACAGCTAAAAATGTTACTCTAAAAATGTGGTAAGTTTAAAAAGTGTAGAACTTACTAATGAGATAACTTTTCCCTCTCTCTGAAAAAAAGGGGGAAGAAAATTCTTAAGAAAATATACATCAGGGCTTATGGTGATTTTTTTTGAAGTCTGTTTTTGGAAACAGGAAGTACAGAAGGTCAGAATAACTGTAGAATTATTGGTGCTTTCCAGTCTCACATGTTATTTTACCTCCAGTGTCATAAGCCTGTTGGTTCAGAATATGGCAATGTATTTGTAATCTCTCAGTGGAACTAAAGATGAGTTATGTAAGTCTGAGAGGAACAAATAAGCTAATTTAGCCTGGCCATTCAAACTTATGGCACTGTATATGCAATAACAGAATGACTGTGTTTTTTGACATAGCAATCTGCAGGGTGAGGGTAGACAACTGAAGGCTGTCAAGAGTCTGTGCAAGCTTGGCTTTAGGGAAGAATGGGAACCCAATAGGTCTAAGTAACTTAAACTGAACCTATTAAATTTACAGTCTCTGAACAGATTTTTCTGTTTTGGAAACCACACAATATAAATGTAACATTAAATCAACAAATCATTTAACTGTAGACATGTCTGCATGAACCATGTTTTTAAATCCTACTATAGTGAAATTTTGCCAGGAAAATGGGCCTCAAATGAAACAACAAACAAACCCATTATAAAACATACAGTTTAAAGTTTTGAAAACTTTAAGTGTCCAAAATGTTTGTTCTTATCCAATGCACAGGAAAACCAGTTGGTTAATAATGTCACAAATGGTTAGGAACAAAATGAATTCAGGATGATGCACTCTGGTGTAATACAAATTCTTGCAGAAAGCCGTGTTATCAAGAGAACATAAAACACTAAGCAGATGTATTGTTGCACAGAAATCATAAAGGCATGTTAGGCACCGATTTACTGAAATGAGATAGGAATTAGAGAGTAAATTTGCTGTTTCTCCCCTTCCCTATTCCTGTTGTGCTGTTCTCATGTTCATCACATGAGAAATTGTTATTTTATGGCTTCACAGCACTTTCACTTAGGGAGGACAGTGTTACCTCATGCAAAATGAAACTTTATGGTCTCAACATTGTACGATTACTTTTTATATTAAATAGCAAAACTTTTTGAGGCTGCAGTTTCAACAGTAAAAAAACAAAAACCAAAACCCAAAAAACCAACAGTTGCCTTGCCAGTCTCTGATAAAGCCACATAGTAGGGTTGGTTTAAATCTGTGGGTTTTGGTGTCTTGTAAGAGGACAGTTGTCAATAGTAAAAGTGATTAATCTAGAGTGTCCTTCTGCAATTAGATTTCTTAAATTTCTCATATAGTCACACTGGATACAGTAGTACCCAGGGAATGCTTTTGTATTTTATTTGAGTGTATATGCATATATATCTGTAAACTTACATTTTGAATAGGTCTGTTTAAAAAAAAAACAACCCCAAATTAATAAGCTCTATTGCTTGAAAATGGCTTTACTGTATTTTGGAATAGTGGAGATTAATTCAT